CGATCTTGATAGTGTCTATCAAACTGTTTCTCAAAACGAGATTATCCGCTCAAACTCAACTCCAGAACAGCCATTAATGGGATTTGCTTCTCAATACCGGAACACGCCTAATACTTCTAAACCAACTTCATCAACACGACCCGGCAACAAAGATCCCACTCGTCATTGTACTGTCTGTGGTAGAACAGGGCATGAAGCTTCGGGATGTTTTACAATCATTGGGTACCCTGATTGGTGGGAAGGTCAAAAGAATAGAGTCAACAACCGCCCTTCACCAGCTAAACCTAACGACACCAAAAACGTGACACCAAAGGCTAATACAGCTAGCGTTGCAAGACCTAATACAAAAGCTCAAGCAAACGTTACTATAACAGATGCAGATCGTTTAGGACTTAGCGGCATAACTGATGAACAATGGAGTATTGTTCAAAAGTTAATCAATAAAGGAACGACTAATGATCATCTAAAGGGTAAGGAAAAAGAAGTTATCTGGATTTTAGATACCGGAGCAACTCATCATATGACAGGACAACTCGACACAATGGAGAATACTCGCACCATTGCACCCGTTCATGTGTTATTAGCTGCAGGTTCTGAAGCAATAGCTTCGAAACAGGGAACCGTCAAACTCACTCCAACTTTACGCATTGAGAATGTGTATTATGTGGAGGGTTTTCATATTAATCTTATATCCTTTGGCCAGCTGGTTACTGATAATTTTCTGGTCGGCCAAGTTACTGATAAACTAATGATCTTACAGGACCGTACCTCGAGGATGCTGATTGGAGCGGGTGAAAGAGAGGGAGAGGGATTGTACCGGTTTCGAGGGATTGAGTCATTGGCGTCTCTCCAGACAACTATTCTAGAAGATTCAGTGTTATGGCATCGACGTTTTGGACATCCTTCATCTCGGATTACTGGCATAATCTCTACTTCGGAAAATTCATCCAAAAATATTGAGGATTCTATTAGGTCATGTGATATTTGTTTTCGTGCCAAACAAACTCGGCAAAGTTTTCCAGACAGTTTTCATAATGCAAAAGAGATTTTTGATTTAATACATTGTGATCTTTGGGGACCATATCGAACTACGGCTCTTTGTGGCTCTCGGTACTTTCTCACAATTGTTGATGATCACTCGAGAGCTGTATGGTTATATCTTCTACCCGACAAAACTATGGTGGCTCAACAGATCAAAGAATTCTTTGCCCTTACCGAAACACAATTCTCGAGATCAGTCAAGAAAGTACGAAGCGATAACGGCACCGAATTCATGTGTCTTACACAGTTTTTTAAAGAAAAAGGTGTTACACATGAAACATCGTGTGTCCATACACCACAACAAAACGGGCGCGCAGAACGCAAACACCGGCACATCTTGAATATTGCTCGTGCGTTACGTTTTCAAGCAAACCTACCAATAGATTTTTGGGGAGAATGTGTCTTGACTGCTGCTCACCTCATCAACCGTACACCATCGACGTTGCTAAAGAACAAATCACCCTTTGAAGTATTACATGGCCATCCTCCGAATCTCTCTCATCTCCGGGTATTCGGTTGTCTTGCCTACGCCCATAATAAGAATACCAAGGGAGATAAGTTTGCATCACGAAGTCGACGGAGTATTCTTCTTGGATACCCTTCGGGAACAAAAGGCTGGAAACTATTTGATTTGGAGCAAGAAGTTGTGTTTGTCTCTCGAGATGTTGAATTTCAAGAAAACGTTTTTCCTTTTCTTGATACGCAGTCATCATCTCTGCAACCAAGTTCTTCTCCGACCAACTTACCATCAACAAGAGACAATGAGGACGATGTGCCTGAAAATTCAGACACCCAAATAGTCTCTGCCACAGAACCTACTACAAACACGGCTGAGACTTCAACAGAGCATTCTGACCCAAACCAAGAACCTTTGGGACGTGGACATCGGACACACAAGCCATCTACTCGCTACAGGGACTTTGTCATCAACGCAGTTACTACAATCCCCTCTACTTCTCTCAATTCATATCACCCGTCCTCCACTCCAATATCATCCTCAGGTTCGTGTTATCCCTTGTCGGATTACTTAGTTTATGATCGTATTTCTTCTAACCATCGCAGCTACATCATTGCGCTATCAACTAACATCGAACCAAAATACTTCAAACAAGCCATGAAAGAAAAGGTTTGGCGTGATGCTATGAAAGCTGAAATTGAGGCTCTTGAAAGAAACCATACATGGGACCTTCAGGAATTACCTCCAAACAAAAGAGCTCTCGGTTGTAAATGGGTTTATACGATCAAACTTCGGTCTGATGGAACTATTGAGCGATATAAAGCTCGTTTGGTGGTCTTAGGAAATAATCAGAAAGAGGGTCTTGATTACACAGAAACTTTTTCTCCAGTAGCCAAGATGACGACTGTTCGTTTATTTCTTGATATTGCGGCGAAGAAGAATCATGAGATCCATCAAATGGATGTTCATAATGCCTTTTTACACGGTGATCTTCTGGAAGAGGTTTATATGAAAATGCCACCCGGTTTTTCCAAAGATACTCGAGTTTGCAGGCTTCGCAAATCGTTATATGGCCTTAAGCAAGCACCTCGGTGTTGGTTCGCTAAGCTGGTGGAGGCTCTACTCAAATATGGATTCGAACAAACACATTCAGACCATTCTCTGTTTGTATATTCTCGGAACAGAGATACACTTCGGATTCTAGTTTATGTCGACGATTTAATTATCTCCGGAGATTCAACCTCAGCAATCAATTCTTTCAAAGCTTATCTCTCTACATGTTTCTACATGAAAGACCTTGGTTCTCTTAAGTACTTTCTTGGTTTGGAAGTTGCTAGGAGTCCTCAAGGAATATATTTGTGCCAGCGTAAGTACACACTGGATATAGTTACCGAGTGTGGGCTTTTGGGATGTAAACCAGCGGGTTCGCCGATGGATCAAAACCATACCTTAGGACGTGCACAAGGAGAGTTGTTATCTGATCCAGAACGCTATCGTCGACTGGTGGGACGTCTCATCTATCTTCTTGCAACACGACCAGACCTTGGCTACTCTGTTCATATACTCTCTCAATTTATGCAAAAGCCTAGAGAAGAACACTGGCTTGCAGCGGTGAAGACAGTCCGATACTTGAAAGGTACTATTGGGCAAGGCGTTCTTTTCCGGGCTAACTCCACATTTCACATAACAGGCTGGTGCGACGCAGACTGGGGGGCTTGTCCTACCACTCGTCGATCACTCACCGGCTGGATAGTTCAGTTTGGAAACTCGCCTATTTGCTGGAAAACAAAGAAACAAGATGCAGTGTCTTTGTCTTCCACTGAAGCAGAGTTTCGAGCATTAAAAGCAATCACGAAAGAGCTCATTTGGATCAAGGGTCTTCTACATGAGTTAGGAATCACTCATGACGAGCCAATGACGGTCTGCTGTGACAACAAGTCAGCATTACATATCAGTGCCAACCCAGTTCTTCATGAACAGACAAAGCACATGGGAATTATTTGTCAATTTGTCCGCGATGAGATAGTTAAAGGTGTCATTGCCACAACTCATGTCTCTTCTCAAAATCAGCTTGCGGACATTTTAACTAAGGCCCTTGGACGAAGAGAGTTTGATGCATTTCTTCTCAAGTTGGGCATTAACAATATTCATGCTCCAACTTGAGGGGGGGTATTGGAGTAGGATTCCTATATTAGTTAGGAATCATACAATATCGATTTAGATGTTTTCCTATTCTAGTTTATCTTTATGTTTTCCTATTTTAGCTTTGCTTAACTTGGTATATAAACCAAGCTCATTCATCAATAAAACTTAACTTACTTTTGATACAAAACAAGATTTGTCATATATACATCTATAAATATATTATGTCTTCAGTGGATTACACATGCATATACCTAAATGTTGATGGCCCCCCTTACCCTCATCATGTTTTTATTTAGAAAACAGCCCATAAAAAGTAAATAGTTGAAATAAATAGTTAATCCACTGATACCATCGTTTACATATATATATATATTTTTCTTTTTAATTTGAGAAAGCAAATAAATTATGAAAAAGTAGTGGGAACTGCTTTTAAGATATGTGGCTGGTTTCACTACAACTCTCTTTCTCCCTGCATCTTTTGATGTGGCTTTTGCCTCCCCCATGTTAATATTGGTACGATCTTTTAGCTTCGCTTTTTAAGCTAATCCCTTTTCAAAAATCTAGCTTCTTTTGGTCTGTTTTCGTGTTTATAAAGTCATGCAGAAAGCAAATTAATACAATAAAAATCTACTGGTTGGCCCATTTTTGCTTTAACTAGAATCAAAACCTTGTTGGGGTCCATTTGTACCACGACTTGACCATAACACACATCTAACTAGAAAATGCCTAAATATACATAGGGGATATCATAATTCCATGATGTAAAAGGTTACAAAATTTCATAGGGTCCTTTTAAACCTATTTTATAATAAATTATGAGGTAGTGATGCGAGTGTTAAGTAAGAAAGTAGAAGCCTTGTTTATGTATAGGGAAATGAAAGGAAATAATGTATCATATAACTAAGAGTTATATGACTTATAAGGTTTGGTAAAATCATATTTTAAAAGTAGGTTTGTTATGTCTTCGTGACAAAATGAATTTTCTGAAATTTCCAGTCCCATGCTTCTTGAAATCATATTCTGGTGTGCTCATGACTCCTTGGACTGCAAAAAAGCATCATATATGTCTGAATGCAAAGATACATGAACTTTTGAAGTTTCTATAATATTTCTTCTTTTCTTTATAGATTTTCAAGAGTTTTCTTACGACTTCATATAATGAAATACTTAATTCACATTTTTTTTTCCAACTTGGTTCGGTCTGGTGACTCTGGCTGGTGCGGTTCCTTTTTAACTCACTGAGATGTTATGTTCTTTATGGGCTTAATCAAATGGGGAAACTCAAAGCCGTTGGTGCTACTGTTGCTTTAGAATAAAATAAATATTATTCTTTTACAATAATGTATGCCACTCTTTATCAGTGTAGTAGTAGCTTCTTCATGTAGTACTTTGATTTTCTTGAGAGGTTGATTCTTTCTCTTCTGGTCTCTGGTATGACCTGGATTGAACATTCTTGGAACCCACGTCTCACGAACCAGTCTGCTGTACGTGTTGTGAGAAGAAAGAGCGTCTCTAACCCGAGAGACGAAGCTTTCTTCTCTATGTAATCTGGAGGAAAAGATTGTGTGTGTTGTTATTGATGTTTACTTTGGTAACGTTATTGAGTTTAGTTTGGTTTGGTTTACCTAGTAGTTTATCGCCTTGGCCTTGACCGCGACAGTCTGATGCAACTGCGATGGCTGCGACTTCTCCGCATTTTTCTTGGAAGAATGGGAAGAGAGCTGCACAAGCTATGATCTGACCTTCTCTTTCTACAACCACGAATGAATCCAAAGCTTGGAGTAGCTGCAATCAATAATCTAAAGTCTTTAAATGGGGATAGTTAATACAATGAGATAAGGAAGATAGGTTAGGCTCTTAAGACCTCTTCATTGGTTCTGCTGACCAAGACCCCGGATTCCTCCAAAGGTTTGATGATATGTCTGATTCCTGCAAGGTCATCCACTTTGGCATCTCGTGTTCCTTCGTAAACATCACTGTGGGGGTAAGGCGCATAAGAGTCAGTATAGCATTGTAAGAATGATAAACCGGACCAAGACCAAAAGAATGAGTATACCTAGCAACCATAGTCCCCATTCCATCTCTTTTGAAAAGTTCCAACAATAGAACTCCACTTATAGTACCATCTAATAAGTGAACTCTTTTCACTCCACCCTTCAAGGGAAACAAAACATAAGGTTTTAGTTAAAAGTAATAGACCTGCCGGATTTTGTCCGGACCAGCCGAACCGAACCTAAAATTTTGGTTTTTTGGTTCGGTTTGAGTTCCCGAAAATTTTGGTTTTTGGTTCGGTTTGAATTCGGTATGATTTTGAAATATAATTTGGCTTTTTTGCGATTTAAAAAAAAACAAAAAAAAAAACAAAAAAAAAACAAAAAATCGGAAATTAATTGAAAATAATTGAATTTAACCAAAACTATCTGATTTTTCTTAAAATAATTATACCAAAATCTAATCAAAACCTCAAAAATCGGTTATTTTTGGAAAAAATATAAAATCAAATCAAACCGATTTTATTCTGAGTTCATTTTGGTGGGATTGTGGCTGAACCGAAACCAAAATACCCGAACCTAAAAAACCAAAACAGCATGCTAAGCTAAAACAGTGTGGTTGCCAACAAAAATGAAGACCAAGGATTCATAAGAACTCACTCTACAGACAAACGCAGCAGCAGCCAGTTCAGAAAGATAACCGTTTTGCCGGCTTAGTCTTTCCTCACCACCAATAGCAAAACCTTGCTCACCAGACCCTAAACCATTTCCACTATCAAATCCAACACCATTTTGAAAAATCGGAGTGTGGTTTCCGTTTCCCCATAACGCTTCTCTCCCGTTACCATTAGAAGTAACCTTAGAAGGTTCTTGATAATCTACACTTCCATCACCAACAGCTTTTACATAATTAGCAGCAATGTCGCTTTGTTGTGCACGTTTTCTCACCAACATATCTGCTTCTTGGAGTGTCAAGAAACGAATAAGATGTCCACTCTCATCAAGAATTGGACCGTCCATTATGCAAATAGCCTTATCTGCTCCTATAGCTAATGCACAAGCTGTAGCAACCTCATAGGTACTGCACACAAGTAAAGGGTGTGTCATCTATTTTACATATTAATAACATTTCTACGAAGTAGTGACTAGAGAGAGAGCATACTTGCAGTTTAATACTTCTCCAGAGCTAGAGTGACCCAAGTTCCTCAACAAAACTACCGAACCACCGTCAAGCCTCTCACAAATCCGGTCTACATCTATTTTCTTCACCTCACCAGTCGCTCCAAAATCAACACCATCAACAACACCTCTCCTCTACACCATTAATAACCAAGAAACCGAATATGATGAGACTCAAGGTCCATATCATATGAACATATAAAGAAAGTAAAAAAAAATAAAATCTCACTTTTGCAGCAAAGAAGTTGCCGGTATCAACCCTGACACCAATATCATGTAAACGACTACTATCACCATGCCTACGGATATTACAAATGGATGGTCCAGGAGATAGTTTAGCCTCAAGCATAACTGATATAGCTCCAGCAGCTTCCGTGGCAGCTTGCAACGATGCTGCATCGGTTACTCTATAACGTCCCACATATGTAGCCTCGCGTCCTACAACTTAATACACCTTTTAGGCTCATGTAAAAAAAAATACTAGAGGCAATGTTTTGTTTATTTCTTACCTCTCTCAGACAGAAGCTGGTCGATTTGTAATTGAGTTCCAGGAACTAGAACAAATCTTATTCCAAGATGATGAAGAAACGCTATGTCCTGCACCACACACAAATCAAATTACTTTTAACCTTTTAGAAGTGTAAGCACATTGCAAAAAAGAAACTCTAACGGAGACAAATAGTCAAACATAAGATAAAATATCAGTGTTCTAAAAATCGGTCTAGGCAAAATCCGCCTAATCGAAACACTTCCCAAAGCTTTTTTTTTTAAATTGGTCCGCCTAGTCGAGACACTTTTCCAAAACAATTTTTTAAAAAATTGGTCTAAGCAGAGTCTAGACGTCCGCCTAGTCTAAACAATTTTTATTTTGAAAAATGGTCTAGGCGGAATCTAGACGTCCGCCTAGTTAAAACACTTTTCCAAAACAATTTTTTAAAAATTGGTCTACACGTTCAAAAAATCGGTCTATAACTTAGCCTAAATAATTATATCCGCGCCTAACCACAGCCTAGCAATTTACAGCCTAGCGATTTCTTGAAGATTGTAACATATATACCTTCAAAATGGGATCACAGTAAGGGCCGGCAAGTATATCACCGGAGATAACAACGACGAAAGTGCAGCCACTGTGGGCCCACAGATAAGGCCAAGCTTCACGGAACCAACGCACAAACTCTTTGTCATCCACTGGATGCTCAGCTTCCACATCGCCGCCTGCACTCGCTGCGTAGTTGTACATATTGCATTTCGCCGCAACAGAACCAACCGGCTTAAACCATGGAGAGCTAAACCGGATTTGACCAGGTTTTAACTTACTTTCCGGCCTGAAAGACGAAACATCCTTCCTTGATTGGTAGCAGTTTGAAGAAGACGCAGAACGTAACAAAGCTCCTTGCTCCATCATCTTCTTTACACTTTACTACTTCGTTATTATTAGAATAATTCAATTAGATTCAGTAGAAAAATGGAGAGGAGACGGCGGCGGTAATTACCGAAGTGGGACCCACAGTCACGGATTTTTTTACTGTATTTGTTAATTCTTTCCGAATTTGCTTCTTCTTCTTTGCCGAACTCTTTTAAAATGTTTGGTCGTGAGAGGGTACTTTTAAAGTGTCCCCACGTGGAGTATATTGTTCGTTTCCGGTCAACCGGTTCGGTCCTAAGTCTTAACTATTGTTTAGAAAGTGGGCTTTTTCCTACTGTTAATATGGGTCACTATATCACCAAATTGGGCCTTTGGGAAACGATCTGGGGTATCTTTCTGGCCCAAACCCATTTAGAGCATCTCTAATTTGGGCTTATAACGTTGAAAGAGAGTAAGAAATTACAAGCACCACAAGCAGAAAATAAATAAAAAGGTGGGACAAGACGAAAGAGAAAAGGAATATCTCTCGTTTTATCCGAATCAATGTAAGAAATAATAATATTCCCACGAGAAACCCAAAGATACTCCCTCACGGTTGATGTTTCATTACCTGCTACGTCTCTTTCATTTATGCCATCATACATAGACAACTCACTATTTATGTTGCGATGAAATCATTTTACCCTCAAAGACTCAAGAATGCATGCATGATTTTGTATAAGAATTAAGACATATTTCATGAATGTTGCATTAAGTTTTTTTGAATAAGAATGTTGCATTAAGTAAGTTTCACCTTGTTTATTGAATAGTGAGGACTTTTACGATTCTTTGTTAATCGAATATGCTATTTTCCTTATACCTCGGACGACAAACACTATAAATGGCTTATTCCTTCGCCCAAACGAAAATAAAGAATAAAATAAACAAAAACTTGTGGTCTTAATTTGAAAATATTTAATCATTGATGTCACTGAAAACCATTTTTGATGTTAAAAAAAAACTGAAAATATTTATAGGAGGAATTTGCGGAATAAAATAAATGTCAATATACAGAACGAAAATTGAAAAATAAAAAATCTATTTCTTTGCCCAAAAATATGTTTCTTAATTTAGTTTAAAATAAAATGAAATTTCCATTTATTTATCTACATGTAAGAATATTTTTATCAACTACCTATTTTTATTTGTTACTCAACAGTTTATTTATTTGAATAATTTTTCGTTCAACACATTTTTTATTAATTTATTCCACATTGGTTATTCCAGTTATAGGCCAGCATAGCTATAAATGGCTTCAGAGCCTCCCCTATAGCTCATACCAAAACAAGATCTCTCTCTCTCCTCTGTTCGTGAAAAACAGAGTTTTAAGATCTATTTTGTTTGACTTTCATTCTCTCTCTTGCTTGCATGGTTTAAAGATCTTTCTCGTCATCATTGAAAACCAAGGTAAAGTTTTCTCGCCAAATCTCTTCTTTATTCATGAAATCTAATAAGAACGTTTCATAATACTCCTTTTTCGTTGTTTATTGTTAGTTTGAGATCCCAAGCACTCCCTTCTAGATTTGTATCATTTTTTGTTATTTTCCTTAGAAATTCTAATTTCCTCAAAACTTTTTTTTGTAAACTTAATTTCCTCAAAACCCTTTGTAGATTTAACATTAATTCAAACAAACTCCATCTCTCTGCTCCCATTTCTTGGGAGAATTTTCACTGCCCACAAAAAAAATATCAAGATTTAGCATAAATTTCTAAACTTAGATGGATCTTGAGTTGGATTTAGATCTGTTTGATTTATTTGGTTTATTGAGTAGAGACAAATGGGAGGTAAGGAAGAGATCAAGGAACATTTAAAACCATCTGAAACAGTAGAGAAAAAGCAACACAACGTGAAAGGAAAGAGATTATGGCAAAAAGTCAAGTATCAGTTGGTGGAGTTTCACGCATTACCTGCTTATCTCCGAGACAACGAGTACATCATTGGTCATTACAGATCTGAATGGCCTATCAAACAAATCCTACTCAGCATCTTTACAATCCACAACGAGACCTTAAATGTTTGGACGTAAGTTTCTTGAAATTTTTTTTCCCTTTCTTAAGATCCAAGAAACATTGAAATGTGTACGTGTGGTGGCATGGGAATTTGCAGGCACTTGATTGGGTTTTTCCTGTTTCTTGCGCTTACTATATACACAGCTACCAAAGTACCAGGCGTTGTGGATATTCACTCACTTCAGCACCGTTTACCTGATATCTTGATGAAAACAGATCTTCACAAGCTTCACTCTGACCTCATGTCTCGCCTTCCTTCTAGTCCATCTAGTTGGCATGTCATGGAGCTGCTTTATAACTGCCTGCCTGAAAGATTCTCTCATGGAAACTACACCGACATGTGTGTTCTTGTAAGAAAAAAAACACAATCTTTCTTTGCTATCCCTAAAAAAGTTTTTTTTTAAGTTTAAATGTGAATTCTAATTTTACCACAAATTTGATACTACTTTTAAATTTATCTTTAAAATGACAATTTTCATAAATACTCTAAACTTGAGATGAAAAAAAGACTACACCAACCCCTTAAAATCATTTATAAATGTTTAATAATCATTTGTAAGAAAATATTAACCTAATCTCACCAATAAATACTAAATCTTAAACAATCATAAACTCTAACCCAAATGTTAGAGTATTTTCTATTGAAAGTATTTTTGAAAATTTGTAGTCAACTTATGGTATTTTAAGAAAATTCTCTTTTTTAAAAACAAATTGGAATTTTTTTTTAATGTGATTTTTTTAAAAAAGTTTGGTGGTCATATGCCAATATTTCACTTAGCTATGTCTAGGATTGCCCTTTCTTATGAGGGCTTCAAACATGTTACCTAGTTCATATTTTTCTCTTTTGTGTCTGTAATTGTATTGCAGCACTCGGTGAGGGAAGATCTTGCAAACATGATAGCTCCTTTAATATTCAGACCAATCACTCGTTGGCCGTTCTATGCATTTCTAGGCGGTGCTATGTTCTGTCTATTAGCTAGCAGCACGTGTCACCTCCTCTCGTGCCACTCAGAGCGAGTCTCTTACATAATGCTTAGGGTTGACTACGCAGGAATCGCAGCTCTGATCGCTACTTCCTTCTACCCTCCAGTCTACTACTCCTTCATGTGTGAGCCTTTCTTTTGCAACCTCTACTTAGGATTCATTACAATCTTAGGGATAGCTACCGTTCTTGTCTCGCTTATACCGGTTTTCCAAACACCCGAGTTTCGTGTTGTGAGGGCATCTCTCTTCTTTGGAATGGGATTCTCTGGCGCAGCTCCCATCTTACACAAGCTCATCATCTTTTGGGACATCCCTGAAGCGCTACACACTACAGGTTATGAGGTTTTGATGGGTTTACTTTATGGTTTAGGAGCTTTGGTTTATGCCACTAGGATTCCTGAGAGATGGATGCCTGGTAAGTTTGATATAGCTGGACATAGTCATCAGTTGTTTCATGTTCTTGTGGTTGCTGGTGCATATACACACTATAGAGCTGGCCTTGTGTATCTCAAATGGAGAGACATTGAAGGGTGTTGAATATGATGATTTGAAATTACTTTTTTTTGTAGCTTTTCCAAAAAAGTTGGATTGTGTAAAGTTTATTGTGTAAGCAAATTTTTCTCTTATTTATAATGCCAACTGAGTAATTTGAATTAGTAACTATATATTAATGAACAAACAAAATCCAAAACATCCTCTCTAACCTAATAAAACCAAATGGTACTATGTATCAAGCACTTTACTAGATGGTTTACTCCATGCTTTACCATATATAGTACTCTCACTAGGAAGACGTAGAATAAGTTGATGAGTGGCGATGTTTTGGTCTCAGTCCCAACACGAAAGTCTCCTTTTATGAGTTTTTGGGTTATAGTTTCTGCAATATTGGTGGAAACAACTATGGTTTACACATGTCACTAAGCTCCCAGCATACGGATAGGCCTACATACAGGTGACCCGGGCATGCCCTCATATGTTTATGATAGAGACAAAGCTCTGTTTTCATGATTGACAATTTCAACTCTTGTAAGTAAAAACAAACGACATTGAAACTAAGATGGACCCAGGGCCTGAAATACTGAAAATCTGAAACTGTGGAAAATCTTACGTTAGGCCCAAAAAAATAATTTGTATTAACTTAATTAAGAAAACGACCTCTAAAACTTAATTAACTACAATAACAATTTAATTTACTTAAAAAGACCTTAAATGATTCTATTCTTATTTTCACGATAATCTCACAAATTTAGATGAAAATTAATAGTTAGACAAAATGTTGTCTATAATATATAGAGGTTACCTTTTCGTTTTCTTTTGTCCACATATAGAGATTATCATTTTATTAGTGGAAACTGCATTGAAGGGAAATTTTTTTATGACTAAGCTAGTTTTATATTTCTTTTGACTGTCAGGAATTCATTCTAAATAAGAAATGACTAGATGATAACCCGCGCCATGCGCGGAGTGAACTTTAAAAAAAAAATATTAAAATATATATTTTGCTATCAAAAACCATTTTTACATTTGATTAGGGATGGACATTTCGGTACCATTTGGTTCGGTTAGATTCTGTTTAGTTTATATCTTTGTGGTTTGGTTCGAATTTTTGCAGGTTTAGGTTGGGTTTAGGTTCGGATAACCCATTTAATTTTTTATAAAAAATATTAAAATTCATACATACTTTAAATTTTTCAAAATCTAAAAGTAAAAAAAAATATAACATATAAATTTAAAAAATGAATGCCAAAATACTTAATCTTAACATAAAACTGTTTTTTTTAATAAATATTTGGACACAAAATCAATAAATATTTCAATATTTTTGGTATTTGGAGTATCGTTTAGTTATTTTAAAAATGTGCATTTAACTATTTTATATATTTCTAAGTATTTTGGAAAATTTTAAACGTCTCATACATTTTGTATATTCTTAGAGGTTAAATTTAAAAATAATTAATATATTTAGAGGATACTCAAAATATTTTGATTCCGTTATGGTTATCTAGATACCAAAATTTTGAATTCGTTTGGATATCTAACCAATTTTGGTTAAAAATTTGTACTACTTTTTGGATTAATTTTTCTCGGTTATTTGGATTCAGTTTTTTTTGCCCAACCATATATATTTTTTATTATACCAAAAATTTAAATGAAAAGGATGATGGTTCATATTGATTTTGGGTATGCAACAATTTTTAAACAAAAAACACTGTATTATGCGTGATACATTTAGTTAATTATTATAAAAAAATTAAAAACCCATTAGGAAAACGATTGGCTGAATTGAAAACGTTATCTTTGATCACAAAATTTTCAATGTGATATTTTTAGCATTTTTTGTAATTTATGGTCATTTTAAAAAAAAAATCAAAATATAACATATAAGAAAAAATCTAAATTTTTATTATATGATTAATGTGATTTTTTAATTTCTTTTAATAATATAAATTTAAATAAAATGTAAAGAGGATAAAAAATTGTAGTCAAATATTTATTATTCATAAAATTAATTGTGAGATATATGTTAATTATATTAGGTAATTCCGTAGTTTTATTTAAATAAATAATAATTTTTTTTTGTACACTACTAATTAAAAATAATAGTTAGTATAATAAAAATACAGTGGAACTTTTATAAATTAATAATGTTGAGACTACACCAAAATTATAATTTTTTATTAATTTATAGAGATTATTACTTTATCGATATACTAATTGAACAAAAAATTCAATTTGAAACTATAAAATTATATTATTTTAAAGAGATTTTTAGTGTATATTAATTTATAGAGTATTAATTTAAAGAGATTATATTGTATAACATATGTTTAGTTGGACCAACATAATTCTCTAAGAGTTATGAAAATCATTCTCATTGTGCCACGTGGCTACAAAAAAATATTGTAATGCTCCATGGTTAATATATAGGAGATTTAAACTATTAATCAAAAATATTATATGTGAAATTTTTAAATATTTTATTAATTTGTAGTCGTTTTTAAAAATTAAAAAAATATAACATATATAAAGAAATTTATTTTTTGTTATATAGTTAATGTTATTGTTTAATTTATTTTCATAATATAAAATTATCAAAAATAGTAAAGGCTATAATTTTTTTTATCAAATCTTCATATTCAAATCATTAATTGTCATATATATATTATAACCATATTAGGTAATTCTGTAACTTTATTTAAGGAAATAAAGAATAGCATTAATAGTATTTTTATGTTTAGTTTAATAAAAAGTATATTATATGTTTATATGGACCAACATTTTTTCTAGTAAATTTGAGAAGCATTCTCATGATGACACGTGGCTACCAAAACATGTTGTAATGCTTCTCAAATAATATATAGGGGATTTCATGTCAATAACCATAACATTTAGTTGAGTAATTCAGCTCACATCTAAGCTCTTCTTTAGAGGTTTTAAAGGCTACGTTGTAGTATTATTTTTTTTAATATATTTTTCAGTTCTAAGGTCTTCTCATTTTTCCATAATCATCATCAATGGGAAAGCAAAGCAGTGCAAAGACCAGAACCGTTGTCCGTTTCTCAGACGGAGTCATCTTCGTTTCCGGAGCTTTCATGTCTCTGATCCTTGTCTGCTCTTACTTCTCAATCTTTTCACCATCCTCCAATTTCACCCTAACCGGTTTTGGACGAAACACCAAACCAAGTAAATGCTCCGGTTTAGCCATGCAATTCGACCTGCCAGACTCCAATTTTTACGACGACCCGGATCTAAGCTACTCAATCGAGAAACCAATCACAGGATGGGACGAGAAACGACACCAATGGCTCGAATCCCACCCCACATTCAAACCCGGTTCAGAAAACCGGATCGTTGTGGTAACCGGTTCTCAACCGGACCCGTGTAAGAACCCAATTGGAGACCATCTTTTGCTCCGTTGCTTCAAAAACAAGGCCGATTACTGTCGGATCCACGGACACGACATCTTCTACAGCAACTCTCTGCTTCACCCCAAGATGAATTCTTATTGGGCCAAGCTTCCAGTGGTTAAGGCCGCGATGATCGCTCACCCCGAGGCGGAGTGGATTTGGTGGGTTGATTCCGACGCGATTTTTACCGATATGGAGTTCATGTTACCGTTACAGCGTTACCGTTATCATAACCTAGTGGTTCATGGTTGGCCGAATATTATTTATGATAGACAGAGTTGGACGGCCGTTAACGCGGGAGTTTTTTTAATTAGAAACTGCCAGTGGTCGATGGACTTAATTGACACGTGGAAGAGTATGGGCCCGGTGAGTGAGGACTACGCCAAATGGGGTCCAATCCAACGGTCGATATTTAAAGATAAGTTGTTTCCCGAATCGGATGATCAGACGGCTCTGATTTATTTACTGTATAAACATAAAGAGGTGTATTACCCTAAGATATATCTCGAGGGAGAGTATTATCTCCAGGGGTATTGGATTGGTGTCGTTGGGGGTTTCTTTGCTAACGTGACGGAGCGGTACCTCGAGATGGAACGAGAGGACGCCACGTTGCGGAGACGGCACGCAGAGAAAGTGAGTGAGCGATACGGTGCGTTTAGAGAGGAGAGGTTTTTGAAAGGCGAGTTTGGAGGGAGAGGGAGTCGAAGGAGACCGTTCGTGACGCATTTCACGGGTTGTCAGCCTTGTAGTGGGGACCACAGTCCGATTTACGATGGTGACACGTGTTGGAATGAGATGTTTAGATCCCTTAATTTTGCTGATGATCAAGTGATGCGCACATATGGTTACGTGCATACTGATCTGAGTAAGACTTCTCCGCTTCAGCCTCTGCCGTTCGGTTATCCTGTTGAGACTTGATGATTTTTGTTGTTGTGTGGTTTATAACCTTTTAGTGATTATAATGGTTTGGAATATTTTCTACTCTATAAATTAATAATCGATAAATTAATATACACTAAAAATCTCTATACATTAATATAGTTTTGTAATCTTAAATTAAATTTTTAGTTCATTTAGTATATTGATAAATTAATAAAAAATTATAGTTTTGGTGTAGTCATAACATTATTAACTTATAGAGATTTCACTATAGTTTACATTATTGGTGGGTCCTAACTACGCAAAATGGTGTCCGATCCAATGGTCTATTTTTAAAGATAACATAGTAGTAAGTAAGTTTTATTTATTACCCAGTAAATAAACCATATGAAAACTGCAATATCCTCCTTGCTTCTTCGCCAAGCTCTGCCTTCAAAAGTTTAGAATAAAACCCAAGTCACGGTAAATAAGAAAAGCATAGCTACGTAAATTAGTTGGAACCCAAGTCACGGTCAAAAGGTGGTCGAGTTTGAGGCCGTACTTTTCCCTTAAATGGCTAAGCAAATTTTGAGCCTCCAAAATGTCCAAATTTGAGATGAGATATAGGATGAGATATAGGATTAAGACATGCCTTATTCTGATCAGAAGGGGCGGGGTTGCCCCTGTACTTGGACGATAAACTGATAAAGAAATCTTGAGCCGCCATAAGGTCCCACTCCTGCAGTGGAAGTCCGTTGGTGTTAGAGAACGCTGCAGATTACAAATACTAACTTTGAGATTAAAACATGCCCGTGATCGACCAAGGTGCAAGTTAGCAAGGTTCAGACAGTCCACATTATCATCAGTAGACTGGTTCCCCTCCTGCTTGACAAACAAACATATAAGACAATGGCAAAATGTTTTGTATTGAGAAAAACAGCAGAGAGAGATGCTTACAGCATATGCATGTCCTTCGGTCTTGAGATGGGTTGGTAAATCTTCAAAGGTTTGGGATTTAAAAAACTAATAAAATTTAACAAAACTAAATTTTAGTTCTCTTAGTAAGAAACATATATAATATATTTCTATAAATATAATTATATTTTAAATATTTAGTGGGTCCGGATCCGTAAAATCACTGTCCGGAACTAGATCCCCGGATATTCATTTTTTTTGGAACGGATCGGAGCGAATCCCAGATCGCATAGCGGATATAAGTACCAGCTCTAAGTGTAAGTATTATATTTAATTATTTATATAACATTTTCTTTACATCTGATAAGCTTTATCGTTTATGAAATTAAGATAAATATAGATGCAATATAACATGGTGTAGAAATACGTAAATGAATTACGGTTGTTATTCAGTTAGAGACTCTAAATATAAACAAATATCCTATATAAAAGTGAATCATTTTAGTAACCAAATTATAAAAATGTATTCATAAACAAATATCCTATATGTCTTATTGGACCCTTTAAAGTGTAATAACAACTTTTATTAGTAGATACAAAAATAGCTTTCTAAATTAATAGAATAGATAAATAGGTAGACAATTTTATCTTTGTCCAAAAAAAGGACAATTTTATCTATAATATAGAGACTCTTTTTTTATAATTAGAGATTTATCCATTTTATTAATGGAAACTGCACATATCACTTAGCTAATTTTATATTTCTTTTGACTTTCAGGATTTTATTCTAAACAAGATAAATGATTTTGTGTTAATTCTTACCATACATTCACTTCACTAATTCACCACACATCTAAGCGTTTTAGTTTTACCACCTAAATCTCATATGGTTGCTTTCGATTTGTAGTATATAATTTTATCTATAATAATCTAGTAGAGAAATAGTTAGACAATTTTATCTATAATATAGAGATTATTCTTTTATTAATAGAAACTGCACTTATGACTAAGCTAGTTTGTCATGGTATATAAAAATACTGGAATGAATTACGGTTGTTACTCAGTTAGAATCCCTAAATATAAACAAACATCCTATATAACAGTGAATCATTTTAGTAACCGAAATATAAAAATGTATTTGTTATTATTCTAAATACGGTTACATGTCTTATTGGACCCTTTAAAATGTAATAACAAATTTTATTAGTAGATAAAAATAGCATTCTAAATTAATAGATTAGAGATTCTTTTTGTTTTTACAATATAGAGATTTTATTTTTCAATTAATGGAAACTGCACTTATCACTAAAGCTAGTTTTATATTTATTTGGACTTTCAAGATTTTATCCCAAACAAGATAAATGATTTTGTGTTAATTCTTACCATACATTCACTTCACTAATTCACCTCACATCTAAGCGTTTTAGTTTTACCACCTAAATCTCATATGGGTTGCTTGCGATTTGTACTTTGTAGTATATAATTTTATCTATAATAATCTAGTAGAGAAATAGTTACACAATTTTATCTATAATATAGAGATTATCCTTTAATTAATAGAAACTGCAGTTATGACTAAGCTAGTTTGTCATGGTATATAAAAATATACTGGAATGAATTACGGTTGTTACTCAGAATCTCTAAATATAAACAAATATCCTATATAACATTGAACCATTTTAGTAACGGAAGTATAAAAATGTATTTGTTATTATTCTAAATACTGTTACATGTCTTATTGGACCCTTTAAAATGTAATAATAAATTTTATTAGTAGATAAAAATAGCATTCTAAATTAATAGATTAGATAAATAGTTAGACAATTTTTATCTATATATTATAGATAAAATTCTTTTTGTTTTTACAATATAGAGATTTTTTTTTCTATTAATGGAAACTGCACTTATCACTAAAGCTAGTTTTATATTTATTTGGACTTTCAAGATTTTATTCCAAACAAGATAAATGATTTTGTGTTAATTCTTACCATACATTTAGTTGACTAATTCACCACACATCTAAACGTTTTAGTTTTACCACCCAAATCGGCTACATTGTAGTTTTTACATTTCTCACAGTTTTGAGGTTTTCTCATTTACCATCATCATCATCATTATGATGGCAAAGCACGGCGGTGCAAAGACCAAAACCACTGTCTGTTTCTCAGACGGACTCATCTTCTTCTCAGGAGCCTTCATGTCATTAATTCTCGTTTGGTCTTACTTCTCAATTTTCTCACCTTCCTCCATTTTCACCCTAACCGGTTTTCGTCGAGACACCGAACCAATCAAATGCTCCGGTTTAGACATGCAATCCGACCCGGCAGACTCCAATTTCTACGACGACCCGGATCTAAGCTACTCAATTGAGAAACCAATCACGGGATGGGACGAGAAACGACACCAATGGCTTGAATCCCACCCCACATTCAAACCCGGTTCAGAAAACCGGATTGTTATGGTAACCGGTTCTCAACCGGCCCCGTGTAAGAACCCAATCGGAGACCATCTTTTGCTCCGTTGCTTCAAGAACAAAGTCGATTACTGTCGGATCCACGGACACGACATCTTCTACAGCAACTCTCTGCTTCACCCCAAAATGAATTCTTATTGGGCCAAGCTCCCAGTGGTTAAGGCCGCGATGATCGCTCACCCTGAGGCGGAGTGGATTTGGTGGGTTGATTCTGATGCGATTTTTACCGATATGGAGTTCACATTACCGTTACAACGTTACCGTTATCATAACCTAGTGGTTCATGGTTGGCCTAGTATTATTTATGATAAACAGAGTTGGACAGCTGTTAACGCGGGAGTTTTTCTTATTAGAAACTGCCAATGGTCGATGGAGTTAATTGACACGTGGAAGAGTATGGGACCGGTGAGTGACGACTACGCCAAGTGGGGTCCGATCCAACGGTCGATATTTAAAGATAAGCTCTTTCCCGAGTCGGATGACCAGACGGCTCTGATTTATTTACTGTATAAACATAAAGAGGTGTATTACCCTAAGGTGTACCTCGAGGCAGAGTATTATTTTCAAGGGTATTGGATTGGTGTCGTTGGGGGTTTCTTCGCTAATGTGACGGAGCGTTACAACGAGATGGAACGAGAGGACGCCACGTTGCGGAGACGGCACGCAGAGAAAGTGAGCGAGCGATACGGTGCGTTTAGGGAGGAGAGGTTTTTGAGAGGCGAGTTTGGAGGGAGAGGGAGTCGACGGAGAGCGTTTGTGACGCATTTCACGGGTTGTCAGCCTTGTAGTGGGGACCACAACCCGAGTTACGATGGTGACACGTGTTGGAATGAGATGATTAGAGCCCTCAATTTCGCTGATGATCAGGTGATGCGTGCGTATGGGCACGGGCATAGTGATTTGAGTAAGACTTCTCCTCTTCAGCCTCTGCCGTTTGATTATCCTGATGAGACTTGGTGATTTTTTGTTGTTGTGTGGTTTATAAACCTTTTAGTGATTATAATGGTTTGAAATATTTTCTAGTTCGTTACATTATAGTGTTGATTAGGAGAATGACAAAATAACTGAAACTAAAAAGGATTTGGACGTAGAGTTTTATCCATGTCCCATGCATGATACAACCAACGTTTTGGCATTTAGTTGAACTTGAAGCACATTCATTATATATGATGCATATAAGTCAAAACTATTCAATATCATACTTTATGCTTCAACATGCATGAGCAACAACCGTCTATCGCAAAATTTGTTATTCTATTTCCTCAAATATCCACACCATTATGAACCCTCACATTGACCCAGTCTATTCATAATTATTGAGTTGGTGATGGACATATCTAGCTGCCTGGTTGGTTAGTTATCATATCACAATCACATATTCAAATGCATATAGGAGAGAAGACGATGTCGAAAAAACAAAAAAAAAGGAGAGAAGACTAATTCTTTTTTTTTTAATAAATATTATATAAATAACCGTCGCCAAAATGGGAAACAGTTCGGTTACAAAATCGATTAGAACAAACGTTGTTAGTTCAAACTATTACAATTAAGTTTCGTCCACCCACTAAACCTGGTACATTCCGCTAAGTTAATTTTTAAATCCCTAGAAATCGAAAGCCGATCTCTACCTTTGACATTGGCCACAGAAACATGAAATTCTCCTCATTGCCTCGGATGTCGGGAATTACCATGACGTCTCCGGAGTAGCTTGGTTTCGAAGACTAATTCATTATATATGGAAGAAATGGAATACTGAAATTATTATACAAATGACATTACGTTAACATTTTCTTTTTTGTTCACTTACAATATACAGTACACATTTTTTTCACTCTTAATTACATGAAGACACCCAACAACCCAATCATTGAATCACACAAGATACCGAATATTACATTAAAAAGTTACTGGAGCGTATAAGTATACTTGGCAACACCGTAACTCTTACTCCTTTGAGTCATCTTGTGATTACTCCCAAAATTAATCAAAGGACTTGTCTCATCAATTCTCTCAAACCTATGATGATCATCACAACTTCTCACACTCTTAGCCTTTCTCAATGTCTTGGACGGTACATGGCGCGTATCAATGGTCGTACTCCTAGCTGATGCGGCTCTTACAAGCTCAGATACACGATCCTCTTTGGCCCTGGAATTTTGGGAGTGGCTCGCGCTGAGACTTCGTGTGAGAGAGCTTACGGAGCAGACTGGTACCCCAAAAGACATGGCGCCGCCAAGGTCATGGGATGATAGTTGATTCATGCTTTGTATGTACAAGTCTCTAGCTTTCACCACCATCTTTATGGGAACCTTCATGTACTTGCGTAGTTTGGTCTCCTTTTTCGTGCTCATATTTTTCTTACGAGAGATTCCAAAGTTCCTCCTTTCCACAAACACAAAAAGAAAGCTGTATTTAAACGTAGAAGAGAAGCTAGCTATTTACAAAGTTTTTGTAGAAAATTTAAAATATGGTTGATGGCATCATAGTATTTAATAAAGTATAGCACGAGTTTTTTTGTTGATTAAATTTGATAACATGAGATGTTGAGAGTTTGATGGAATCTATACTAAAAAAAACTAAAATTTTATTATGATAATATAATACAGGTTATCTTACTCTTAATTGTGACGACTATTTAATTGTTATCATTAAATTATTAGACACATTGTAGTTTATATTATGTGCAAGTGAAAAAAAATGTAAACTCAACAGTTGACATCAGAATATGAAAATAGTAGATGTGAATATTATACCATGAAACTAATTGAGATAACGTATTTGATAAAAACAGATTTATCGTATATAACGTTTCCAACGAGATCAGGATTATACTAATCTTGACGTAATGTAATCTGAATGCAAAGTCTGCATTGACCAAAAAAAGTCATTGGGTGGTCGCTTTCTAGCTAGTTCATGAGCTGTTTGATGATCCAAAGTAGCCGAACCCAATAAAATATGTTTTTTTTGTTTTTTTTGTAAAACTGTGGTTTAAGCACTAATATTGAGTTTTTAGAAAAATTTCCAATAAATTGAATTTTATACTTTTAGAGTTAATTAAAATTTATTAACTCATTTTACGTATATACTAATGTATCATAAATTTTCTTTCATCGTACATCCTTCTATGTTTTTTTAACAATTTCTTTAATAAAATTTCATATAGTATATAAATCACTAGACTAACGCCTATGAAATCTCAGTTCTCTAGAGAAACAAAGGAAAAAAAATGTTCCAGATCTTTTTATAAACCAGCATAAGTCGGTACACGATGAAAATATGCATTTAAATTAGCTTACCATATTTTTTATTTGTTCTCAAAATCTATGGGTTAACCCCCTACGAAAATATTGAATTTTCGTTAAATTATTTAGATATTGAAGTTTATACTCTTAAATGTTGTATAAATATTTGTAACCATATGCTACATTTATATTAACATATGCTAAACTTTTTTCATGGTAAAATGGTACCAATTCTAATTTTCTTACAATTAATTTAATAAAATTTCATATACCGCCTAAATCAATAGACTGACCACTATGAAAGTTATATTTTCTAGAGAACCAAAGACAATGAAGGTTCCACACATATTTGAAAATCATTATATGTCATTGCATGATGAAATTATTCCTTAAAACATATTTTAATTTTCTTGCAAAAACTGTTGGTTTACCACTACGAAATATTGTGCTTTTAGAAAAATTCCAGTAAATTGAAGTTTATACTTTTTAGTGGTAATTAAAATTTATGAACTCATATATATTAATTTATCATAAACTATTTTTCATTGTACATGATTATCCTTCTATTTTTTTAGCAGTTGCTTTAATAAAATTTCATATACTGCCTAAATCAGTAGACTATGAAGTCTTAGTTCTCTAGAGAAGCAAAGGAATAAAATGTTCCAAACCTCTTTGAAATAATCATACACTAGTACACGATGCAAATATGCATTTAAATAAGATTACCATATTTTTTATTTATTCTCAAAATCTATGGGTTAATCCCTACAAAAATATTGAATTTTCGTTAAATTATTTAGATATTGAAGTTTATACTCTTAAGTGTTGTATAAATATTTGTAACCATATGCTACATTTATATCAACGTATGCTAAACTTTTTTCATGGTAAAATGGTACCAATTCTAATTTTCTTACAATTAATTTAATAAAATTTCATATACCGCCTAAATCAATGGACTAACCACTATGAAATTTATATTATCTAGAGAAACAAAGACAATGAAGGTTCCACACATATTTGAAAATCAGTATATGTCATTTCATGATGCAATTATTGATAAAAAAATATTTTCATTTTTTTTTGAATTCTTTTGCGAAAACAGTGGGTTAACCACTACAAAATATTAGGTTTTTTAGAAAAAATTCTAGTTAAATAAAGTTTATACTTTTTAGTGGTATTTAAAATTTATGAAATCATTCGACATTTATATTAAATCTATCATAAACCATTTTTCATTGTACATGGTCACCCATCTAATTTTTTAGCAATTGCTTTAATAAATTTCATATGCTGCCTAAATCAGTAGACTAACGACTATGAAATCTCAGTTCTCTAGAAAAATAAATGAAGAAAATGTTCCAAACCTCTTTGAAAATAATCATACGTCTATATATTTAAATAAAATTATCATATTTTTTATTTATTCTCAAAATCTATGCGTTAACTCTTACGAAAATATTGAGTTTTTGTTAAAATATCTAGATATTAAAGATTATACTCTTACGTGGTGTAACCATATCCTACATTTGTATTAACGAATGCTAAACTTCTTTCATGCTAAAAGGGAATTGATTCTAATTTTCTTACAATTAAATATGGATTTCATATACGTAATTAAGGTTTAGTGAGCAACTGTATTCTTTATAGATTTAATGATATGCCTAATGTTTTTCCCTGTGTTGTAAGATAGAAAAAATAGAAGAGATCTTTGATAATCTTTATGGTGATACTTATGTCAGACAAGTAAGTTCAGTCCACCTTAATTTTTTTACTAAAGAAGATTTGTAAGTTTAGTCGATTTTTGTAAGGAAAAATCTGAAGGCTGTTGATACGTAATAATCTTCCCATTATTACAAATAACAAGATCGGATGTGGACGGCGTTCTTATTCTATTGGACCGAACTGTTCAAGTTGTCTTAGAATATTCTTTTTTTAAAACATTAAAAACTCAAATCATAAAATACTGAGAACACACTCGTTGAAAATTTCCATTAATTTCACTCATGATCATAATTTATAAATAAAGGAAACTCACAAAAAGAAAAACAATGTTCTCAAAAGTCAAACCATTAAGAAGAGTCAAAAACCAAAGGCTTGACCTGCCTTGAAATGTCGCACATGCATCATAATATATACTCGGATGTGAGATCCAAATCACTCAAACTTCAAATCTATAAATTCTTACTTAGTCCCAAAAACTTTGAAAAGCTAATAATCGCATTTTTATGGAAGCTACATCACAGAGTTACCTTGGTGCTCCACAAACCTCTACACAAGAAACAAAAAATTATTTAATGTCACTCCATTCGACCAGAAAGCAACCTTCAATACCTTTGAAGAGGCCTGTATCATCGCCTTTGAAGTCAATGCATTCCCAGGTTTACCGAGTCGAGCCAGTTAACTTCAAAGAGTTGGTTCAGAGGCTAACTGGTGCACCTGAGCACGACAATTAACATTTCATTTATCATCTTCATCATGGGGAGATTTATCACTTCAGACTCCTGCAAATCTCTCCAGATGGTAGCTTTTATATAGGACATAACATTTTATAAACCCTTGCAATGCTTCCTTTTTTATTGTAATTCTCGACAGACCTATTCTGTTTTAGCTATTTAAACCAGAAAGAAATATAAGAATAATGTGTAATAACTTTTCAATGGTAACTTGTGGAATAGTAGGATGAGTTTTTAATTCAGCAGAATTTTGCTGATTTTTTTAATCATGTTCTTATTAATTCGGTATTTTTTTGAGTCAATGGCTTTGATTGGTTGAACTTTTTTTTAACCAAATAATTTGACATTTTAATAAAAAAACATAACTGAAACTCGATTCTATATTGTATATAATTACATACATGTAATTTAACACTTCCATTAAAAGAGTTAATCAGTGATTCTATATACACAACACATGTATAACATGTGGAAGTGATTTGAAATTAACGACAATTAGGATAATTAACCTAAGGGTTATTCTGTGTATAGATATAATCAAGATGAGCCGTCAATGTTCTTCTCGTCAAGCAATCTTCGTCGTCATCTTTCTCGCAGCTCCCTCCCGCCGCTTCATATAATCTTGAATCCATCATTTCCTGAAATGTAATTAAACACATGCAATAAATTAAGAAATTTAAATATACTAATTACGTATTAAATAAATCTTCATAATAACCGGATATTTATATGACTAACCAGACTAAGAATGTCGGCCGGAGAGATTGTGAAGGAGGGGAAATCGGCCGGTTCAGGGCGGGCGGTGCACGTTAGCGTGGTGGTGCAAAGGATGAGAGCTACCATGAGCAAAGTAGAGAGATTTTCCATTTTGTGATTAATTTTTGGATATTGACACCAATGACCACCAAGCAATCTTTATATAGAGTCATAACTATATTCTTAATATAGTTTATATTTAATAACAAAATTTAGACTGTTTTTATCTTTTATATTTAATAACAAAATTTAGACTGTTTTTATCTTTTATATTTAATAACAAAATTTAGACTGTTCTTATCTTTTATTTTGTCAGTGTTCTTATCTTTTCCACAGACAAAAATAGTAGATAAAACACATCTTCTCTTTACTCATCCTGGGAAGATAAAAAGAGGAATTTCTAGTCTTTTTGGATAAACTAAGGAATGTGTAGTCTTCAAACATGATTTTTCTAGTCTTTTTGTCAAATAAATTTTTCTAGTTTTTAGCTTGTTGTTTGTGATTCAATCTAGAGTATGCTAATAAATTTCTAAACATTAAACATCAGGCCAAAAATGAGCTGTATATATAATTCCCATTCAACAACAACATATAGTACATTTGTATTTCTCCTTTTAGGTTATATTATTTACAATGAAACATATGGAAGTCGATTGTGTGACGTATACTTTTTTTGCCACTATGAGTAGTGGCTTGGTAACTGAGCGGAGGATATTGTGGTTGGCCCGAAACAAAATTTACACATGAAAATGAATATAAAAACTGTTGACGTATTACGTGAGGTAAGGTAAATTCAACGTTTGGTTTAGTTTTGGGGGCCAAAATTAACAATATAGAGGCCTTATGAAATTCAACACCATTAATAACTTATAGTTCATTTTCTGTCGTGGTCATTAGTACGTATTCGCAATAGCTCACCACTATACCCGAGAAAATGATCACCTTTAATATTGTAAAGAAAAAAATTCAAAAACTGTTAACTACCGCGTCACGTAGCGATATTAAATAGCATTTGACCATATGCATGCATGGACTTATTACATCTACGTGACACACGGCGATCTATACTTACTGAGAACCCTAATGACGCACCAAATGACGCCACGCGATAAATCTCGATGAATACTCCACCACAAACATATAGAAAACAAAAGAGATGACTACAAAAAAAAAGGTAAAAAGGCATGATTAATTAGTGGATTCATAACGTGCGTTGCATCCATTTATTTTATGCTTATGTATACTCGCACACACATTCAAAGCATGTACACTGGAGATGAAACTGACGTCGGAAGGTAAAAAAAAAAAAAAAAACTTAAAACATTAATCCATCGGGATTTAATATATCGTTAATCGTATTGTTCGTTTATACTTTTGCTAAAAAGCATATATATGTTAATTGCAGTCTGTGGCTTTTTTTTTGTTTTATTCTGTTAATAAACGTCAAATATATATTTGTAACTCAATTTCTTAGAAACGAAAGATGTTGTTAAAGATGATTTAAAGGGGAAGAGTGTTGCATGTTGACATCCAATGCGTATTAATAGAAAAAATATGTAAAAGAGAGTCCCATACTTTTCACTAAAGTTTTTTTCCCTCGACTTTAATTAGAGATTTAATACAAGTTTTCTATCTAAAATATGACCTAAACAGTACGTCTCCGTCGTATGTATTTATCTGTAGGTATAAATCCTTAATTGTATTTGATTCAGGTTATATACGCCTCAAAACTGAAATGTATGTTCCTCAAGCAAGGGGAAGTTCGTTGATTAACAGAAGGGTAAAGAATATAATGTATTCTTAATGATTCGCATAGACATTATTTAGATTAAAATTAAGAAAGAATATATAAAGATTCTACATACATATGTCTACTAAAATGTAAACGAAGTAGTAATGTAATTTTATAATTCTCCAACAGTTTTGATGGGAGGTTTTTGATTTAGAGGTTGTAGTTATAACCCCGTTGCTCCACATAATAAGATATCTATGTATATGTGCAATGAAATGTTCATTTATACTGCGATAACATAAATTTGGTATATTTTCCAAAAGCATATGTGAAGCTTTTTTATTGGACACTAAAGTTTGATTTCACATGAGACCGATCCAATGACTAAACGATGTGCACATTAACATAATAGCATATCTTTTTAAAAAAATTCACATGATAGCATATCTATTTATATATGCAATGGAATGTTGATATATTTTTAAAATGCGTACCCAAAATAAATGTTGATCTATATTATGGTAAGTGAAATTGGAATTATTTAAAAAACTAATATGTGAAGCTTTTGTATTAAAGTATGGTTTCACATGGGATCGAACCAACCATGAGTCTGGCTAACTAGAAAAGGTTCATGTAGAATATATGTATTTGTTGTCCTCCACTTTAGTATATATGAAATGCATGTGACTGGTGTACTTCACATATATTTACTAATATTTCTAACGAGCTAACTAAATGTATTTTCTGATACAGTTTTAACTAATTCTTATATCAACAACAATAATATTTTTGATCAGAAATGTATACTCTCGATATTTACTATTGAATTAACTAAATACAAAATCTCTGAACTATTATATACTTGGAGTCGGCATATTAGTAGTTTATATCTCAATGTTTCCGTGTAGCAAGCAAGTATATATACTTTTTTCCTCGTAGGTTATAGGGTTCTTTACGAAAAGCATTGGCCTCACCTCTCATGCAAAGCACAAGTTTGGTTCAGTTAATTGGAAAGCGTTCCTCAGATTCTTTATTTCCTTTCGATTTAATTAATTGTATTCCACTCTTTGTCTATCTTCTTTTTTTCTCTTTTAGATTGAAATGATGATTCTAGTCCCTCTCCAATGTTCATCCCGTGTAAACAGAAATCAAGAATATGTTCTTTTTCTTTAACGAAGAAAATTCTATATTGGCTGTCAATATCATTACAAGTATATGTTCGCAATACATATGTCGATGCGATGCGAGAAAGAAAAGAATTATGATCAATGAGATTCAACTGCCCGAGTATAATAATATTGAAGTTAAAGTATATGTTCATAAATAACTAATTCCAAAGAAAATTAGACGAAGAATTCAAATTTAATCTGAAACTGAATTAGGTAAACCTTTTGTAGAAATATGTCATTCTAAAAAAGTAAACCTTACTATATTAAACGTGTGTAATGTCGATTGTTTCTTCATCACTAAGGTATTACAGACATTTGGTTCTTTAAATTACGGGGGAAAAAAATTCTATATGGACCCAAAACGAGCAATGGTGTCCCACAAAATATTTCCTGCTTTTACAAAAGTTGGTTCTACAAGTTTTTAAACCTGCCATAGTGCAACATGACTCAAAAGCTGCTTATACAGTTTTAATATACGGTCGTATACCGTATTTTAAAGTGACTAAAATACCCCTGTTTATTTGCCCATAAATATCAAGCTCTAACAATGCAATTCTTCCCTTTTCCCCTTTAATCTCTCTCATCTCTCTACTAGAAAAAAAATAAGCAATTATGTTGTCCACTGTACCGGCTTTTTCCATGTCTGAACCGGGTTTAGTTAATCAATTTCAGGGGTTGCAAACCGGGTTCACTCCTTGGGATTGGGACTGCTCTTATCTCTTTTCCGCTAACCAGCTGTCTCTTGAACCGGCCGTCCCCAGTCCATGTTATGGTGAATCCGACTCTGGTCTCGTCAAAATTAATTCCGGTTTTAATGACAACAAAACCGGTTCTGATGAAAATTATACCGGCTTCATTAAAATTAAACCCGGTTTTGACGACTCCTGCAGTCCCCACGGCGTACCAGATGAACCGGTCTCGGACAACCAAAAACAATTGACAGCCATCACGAATTTCGAGTTGGGAGAGCAGAATGATAACCGGAATAAACTGATCCAACCGGAGATGACCGAGGAGAAGAAGAGGAAGAGGATGGAATCGAACCGGGAATCAGCAAAACGGTCAAGAATGCGTAAACAAAACCACATTAATAACTTAAGGAACCAAGTAAACCGGCTCGACATGGAAAACCGTGAGCTCAAGAACCGGCTTCAGTTATTTACGTACCAGCTTCAACGAGTGAATACGGATAATAACAGGCTCGTGACGGAACAAGAGATTCTCCGGTTAAGATTGTCGGAGATGCGGCGGTTCTTGATGATCAGACAACTTCAACAACAACAACAATGGGAACTCAATAACCGGAGAATGAGCATGACTGAACAAAACACATCTTCATATGATATATATAAGTAAATAAAAAATATTTAGAAAAATACCATTAAGCTCTTTTTCTTTGTCTCTCTATGTAAATGACATTGAAGGTTTAGGGCAGAGAAAATGATAGTTTTCGAGAAGGAGAAGAAGAAGATGAAAAATGTTTTTATTTTTTGTAATCTTTTTTTTTTCCACTCTCGTAGGAAGTGATCGTTGTCATGTTATGATAAATAACTAAAAAAAGTTATCAAATTAATGCAATGATATAATATTATCCGCACTTTATGCAAAGCTTTGGTGCGCTGTGACAGAGCCTCACGAAGTTAAAGTAATTATTTATTTTATCTTTTAACAAGTTGAAACATAAAAAGTAATAAACAGATTAGCACGAATAATCCTTATATTATTAATTTAAATATACATATCTTCACACTAAAATATATCAATGCCCGAGCTATGTAAGTCCATTACTCATCTCAGCCCAAAAGAAGTTTGGGTCCTGTAAAAGCCCAGTAACAGATTATATCCTTAAGTCCATATAAAAGCACCTAAGCCCTAAATGGTTGTGAGCAAAAGAATCAAGAATCAAGAATCAAGAATCAAGATTGTGATTATATAAGGCCATTATGCATAGAAAGAAACAGAACAAAGCAATGCAGCAAAAAGAAAAGAGAGTTCAAAATAAAATAAAATAAAATAAAAACAGCGCTTTTAACACATTCCTCATCAGGTAGTGTAACGGAAGTAGTCACCACCACTGTTTCTGTTGCTCTCAGCAACGGGGCTGCTAACAGAGCTGCTGTTAGAGAGTGGACAAAACGTTGACTTTTGCAAAACCCCTGTAGGAGAAGATGCAAGCGTGGGACTATTCGTTGTACTGTTGAGTACTTCTCCTAGAGGACCTCCTAAGGAGTTTCCCCATGAGATTGGTATCCATGTATTCACCTTTTTGTGTGTTTCCTGCTCAGACTCACGAGATAGCCTGAGAGGCGACAATGTGGTCTTGTCCTGACCAGTGGTGTGTGTGGAGGAAGGTGATGACGATGATGATGCTACTGGAATTGACATTGAAAGCTGTGTCCAATCTGACTTCAGCTCTTCAGGCCAAGAGCTGTGGTTGTGATTGTTCTGTTGCTTGTCTTGATTGCTGCTAAAATCCAAGTACGTTGGTCCGTAGCTCTTTGCAGAGTTAGGGTTTAGCAATGAATCAGAGGAGATGTGTCCAAACTCATAATTGTTTCTTTGTTTCTGAAGAGATTCCTTGGGTTGCAAGTTAACTGTGGATTGATATACTCTGCTTTGCAATAAAAATGTAAGTAACAAATATGCAAAGTATTGAAAAGATATTATTAATATGTTTTTTCACCTATTGTTAAGTAGCGAGTCTGTAGAGGGATTGTTGTATTGAGATGAAGTGTTGAGACTGCGGTTGCGGGTAAGGTTACTGTTAATGCCACCAGCAACCACAGGCTGTTGCTGCGTTGTAACCGCTTTGGACGCAGCTGCAGCGGTCTGGTTAGATTGGACTTCCACAAGCTTTCTTGAACGGTGACGGCCTCTGTTGATGTGTCTCTCACAGTATTTCTGATCAGGAACAGCATCTCTTGAGCACCTCCATTTCTTCCCATCTGTTCTACGGCATCTCCCTGGCTCAGGATCCATGTTACCGCCCGCGAAACCTAGATGGAAACTTCCCCATCCAACTGCACCAAAGCCAAATACAAACACTTGTTAACCTCTTATTTTCTTCTAATCCAAGGAGGTTCTGGACCGAACTCGGTCCAGAAACTACAACATGTAATATTAGTTCCGTCCCAAAGCCCATAATCATCTCAGACCCAAAACTATAACATGTAATATTAGTTTCGTCTAATCGATCACTTATTAATTAATATGTTGAGTAAGTAAGTCATTTCAAGTTGAGCTAATGATCTCTAGTACTTGTTAACTTATTAATCAATGTTTTAAAAGACTTTTCAACCAAACTGACATCAAAGAACACACCCATTGGCAACAAAACACACTAAAAGCAATGTTATGAAAAGACTTTGCACCAAAAAGTCTTTAGAAAAAAAAAACAATTAGAGACACAAGCATTGGCAACAAATCTTGAAATCTTGATCATCATCAATGACACTATATCTACAAGTAGAAAAAAAATATGGAGCTTACAAGAGCTAGGAGGCAAAGATCCATAAGGGTAAAAAGACTTCTGGATAGAGATGAGCAAACTAGAAGGAACAGGGACATTGGCTGTGATATATTTATAGATCAAGGCCTGTTGCTCTAGCTCAGCCCATTGAGTCAATGTAAAAGGTCCTTTCCCTTGCATGCTCATGTTCATCATCATCCCACCACAACCATATCCTCCTACACTCCACACAAAATTTTTTATAAATAAAAATAATAATAAACTTTGAGATATTTACATAAAACCCATTTACCTCCTGAGCTTCTATATTGAGGTGGGAACTGGTGAAGAAACGGTGAGAGAGAGTTCTTGTTATCCAAACAGACATATTTACTCAAGTCTTGATGAGCTTCTGGTTTGTCTGAGAAGCTAAGCATATGTTCTTGTCGGAGAGAGTCAGAAGCAGATCTCATAAGAGGAAACCCTAAAGACTTACTATAAGCAGCTGCGTAAGGAGAAGATATGTTCTTGTCTTCTGCCATTGTTCTTGCTAACTTCGAGCTTCGTAGCAAACCGGATCTATCTTCTTTCAGATCTGGTGACCCGTTTACATCACTAGTAACCGACCCGAGAACATGAGCACCAGTATCCATATAAAGAAGTGTAAAAGAAGTAATAAAAAAAAAAAAAGAGGAAAGCTAGATAATGACTTGAGAGAGAGTTGCCATGGGAGGAAGAAAGGTTGAGCAAAGATGAGAGAGACAGAGGGAGAAGAACGAGGCTAAAGTTTTATTTTTTTGTTTTTTAATAATATTATAGTAGATTTTTTTTTTTGTGTGAAAAATATATTCTTTTTAGAAATTGTAAAATAATTATGATAATTGGTTGGGAGAGATGAAGCTTTGGGAGGAGACAAGAATGGTGTACTTAAAAAAACCACATTCCAGATCTTGGACATGTTACAACATATTTATCCATGCTTTTCATTATTAACCTTGCTTTATACTCTTCTTCTTATTTGATAAAAAAAATATACTTCTGGCTATTTTCGTTTGAAATTTATCATTGTTCAAAAAAATTGTTAGAAGGCAATATGCGTTTATATGTTTTATACAGTATAAGATTATTGATTATAAGGATATTTAGATAGATTTTCTTAACGCTTATACTCATTTTGGAACTAGAGATCGACAAAATATTTTCGTTTATATTTTATATGACTACTCGACGAATTCTACACCGATTTTTAGAACATTGATATATATTTATGATTTATAAAATAAAGCAAAAATTTATTTAGTGACTAAAAACATTAATTTATGGATGAGTTGAGTATATATTGAGATACTAAGATCATTGTACTATAAAAATGACATGTACAATAGATGTGTACAACGTATGTCTAGTATACAATTTAAGTGAGAATTGTTATCTAAGAAAACAAATAAAAGAATTGTCTTATTCAGATAATAAATAGTAGGATTGAGTGGAGTACCAAATATTTATCAAGATTCACGTGGTTCCAATGATATTTTTGGACCATCTTAGTCTTCTCCCCGTGGATTTTTGTTATATGGAATGGGCCATTTTTCTTGATTCCGTGTATGAGTATCGAGTGATAATACACTAAGGAGACTGATTACTACATGTTCGTCGGACATTAAATAAGTGTAATTAAGCAACAAACAGATTATATTCATGGTCGACCATGAATATAGTTGCCTTCGACTATGTTGTAATCATTCGAAACTATTTATTTCGAATTATTTCGCTTTTGGTTTCGGAAATGATAATATATAGGTTATAATAATATTGAAAGATTATCTTATCTTGAAACTAATTAGAGTGTTACAACAAACTAGACACATAGTGCTGATATAAAGTTACATATTACAAACCATGTTAGCTCCAATTAACTAATTAAGAACAAATTTCTCGTTGCAATATCAAAGCTTATGTATATAGAATGGTTACCACATATATTTACGTATAGTGGAAATGAAGTATTTACTCTTTTATAAATTGATAATTTTGAATTATTGTGTCCGAACTCGCGCGCAACACACAAATGGAACAGCATACTTCTATCATTGACATCCCATGGTAGGTAATAATATAGATGGTGAACATTAGTATTAATGCTCTGTATTAAGTATTATAGCAATATTAAAGCTTTGAAATAGTTACTAAGGGATCTTTTTATAATAGTTACTATGGGATAAAATGTTCTAAATACTCTGGTGTATACGCTGGAGTAGTTATAACATAATTAGTAGGAGCATCACCGATGCAAAAAATTATTTTTTCTTCTTCAAAATGAGAAAATTTTATAATAGAGTTGTTAAAGTTAAATTAATTTTAAAGTGAAAATATAATGAATATACAAAAAATGCATTATTGAATGGAATAAACCTACTTTTTTACTCCATCAATAAGTGGGAAATAGAATAACATTAAAATACATTTGTTTTTTAACTCTATTTTGAAGTAATAAATAGAATGGAGTTTGAGATGCTATAAAGTTTCAAATGTTGTGTGAAACTCTAGTTTAACATATGCACAAATAAAAGAAAGACAAATTTTGCACAAAAACATAAAGAAGCACAATACTTTTAGGAATTCAGCATATGAAGGACTTAGTCTCAACCACAATCACTTTGGATGAGTTCACTATAACTTGAGATTAAATAGTGATGATCTTGATTTTTGAGAAAATACAGAAACCTCCATCTCTTATAATTGCTTTGTATCATTTAAACAGTCCCTATGTTAATGATGTATGCATGCCATAAACTTGAAAACGCATACTGACATACATGTGTATATATATCATTTGCACATATATATATATATATATATATATCAGTTGTATTAGTTTGAGATAGAAAAAAACTTAAAACATATATGAGAATGTTGACGTAGCTTCTGGTGAAAAGTGAATTTAATAACAATGAAAAGAGATATAGAGTTTTGCTAGCTACCAACCATCCCACAAGAAACGTAGATGTTAGTTAAAGCTTTTCTTGAATGTCCTAAAAAGAAACTAACTCACAAAAGGTCACAAGTGGTGCGCATGCCATGCATCGATGATGTAAATATAACTCAAATAATATGAATAAGATGTTAATATCAATTTGATTTCATATCAGCACACATACAATTGCAAGTTGATGAATTCTCGAATTTTCACAAACCTTAAATAAAGTTCTGAGAAATCGTTTTCTGATGAAAAAAGATCTGCAATTCTAGATTAGCCGTAGTTTTTTTTTCAGGCATTCCTGTTTTCTTTTAAAATAATTATATTATATTAAATTTTCAATCTGAAAATGGAAACTGGGACAAGACCTCTGGCTAGTCGTTGGATAAACGGGCATTGCTGTTCATGGTCTAACCATTTACATGCATTCCTGGAAAATAAATGACAAACTTTATATTTTTGTAACAAACAAATGACAAACATAAAATCAATTTTCTTGTTCTATAAATAATATTTCCACTCTTTTGTAGCATTAAAATCTCCCGATTTTAGGATTATGTAAGGTTATCGACGATCAAAATTATATCAACTTAAATGTTTGACTGTTTTGTAATATCAATGGTATATATTAGGAAAAATAAGCTAATAGCCTAATACATATATGTTTTACATTAGTTTTTGCGGGCTACCTTTTGTACGTTTCTTAGTCTCGTCTTTCGCATAGAGGTTTCGACCTAGCTATATCCCCAGCTTACATAACCAAAGATAATAAACAAAAGAAAAGATGATAAAGCCAATTATTTATGCAACCAAGGCATTTTTGGGAAATGGGTGCAGACCTTTTTTATCACAAAATATCCTAATAGTTTATAAATTTTAACAGTCTACAAAGCAACACTTCGTATGTTAATATAATAACTTTTTGAAAAAATAATAACTCGAGCTGTATTTTATACTATATTTACTTTTAGTTCCCGTTATCGTTTTTCTTCACATCTCTATCGATTGTATGTGCGCTTCAGAAGGCCTTTATAATCTTGTCCTTCCATGGTTATGTGCTCTTTGTTGTTTTTATCTTTGGCTCCGAAGGGTATTAAACATTCTTTCGTTGTGATTATACGATCTTACGATGCAACTATTAAAAACGTTTATCACTAAACCAACCCACTTGATTTCTCTAGCCTTAATATATGGTTTAATAGTCTGAATTAATATGTTGAAAAAATAAATAAAGTTTGAATATTACCAGATGAAATCAGTGCATGTTTCTTAGTATAGTTTCAAAGCGTGTTTTCCAATTTAAAAGTGTGAATGTTGGTATTTTCAGAATATTCCATATAGTTAACCATTCCGAATACTTGGGTGCGGTGGGTTAACGTAGCAAACAAATTACACATGCATAATATACTTCATCCCCACAATTAAAATTGTGGAAATGGTATTTTGCAAGACTTAATCGCATCAGTTCTTTTCATTAACTAGCGATAACACTTGTACCGTATTTACTTTACTAATTACTACGCAAATCATTCAAATGATAGTGGCTACAAAGCATTTGAACCTCATAATGAATAAGCTTAGTTTTTTAATTAATTATTGATGTAGTACCATTTTAGAACACTAAAATTAGTCTTTCAAATATTTTTTCTTTTCAGATCTCAAACCAGTACTACATATGATGACGAAATGGATGTCTTTCGTTTTCAGTGTCAATAAATATAGTATTATCCTATTAACTAATTAATTAATATTGGAAATAATAATAAGCAGGAGGAGCGTGGTTTTGTCAGAACCTCATAAGTAGTAGTATAGAAGTAGAGTGGAATAAAATTCCTAGCCAAGAAAAAAACGTGTAACTGTATTTACAAATATAAATGCATGCAAATATTATGAATTCAATGTTAAAAACCCTCCACCAAATAACAGCCATAAAATCATAATTCGAATAAGATTCAATATTTCATATGGTATGTTCGGCAAACAAAAGCTGAATTTGTTTTTTTACCAGAAAAAAATTGAATTTGGTTTTGAGCTTTGACATCTCAATTATTGGATACAGGTTGAAAAAATATGTTTACTTACCAAAAAAGGACAAAGACAAAAAATAATCAGCTAAAAAGAAACAAAAACATCGGGGCAAGAAATAATATAGTGGTTAAAAAGGTAAGTTTGGGTAAGATGTGGTGAATAAATGAAGTTGTAGGACATTGGTGACCGTGTTGGAAAATATTGGAGCCATAGAGAGTGTCGACATGATAGGTGAGGGATATGTATGATAGATAGGCTCTCGTCTAAGGGCATGTTCAAAGGGGCACACTAAAGAGTGTGCTTAGGGTTAAAATATTAGTAAAATAATGTATTTTGTTTAAGAACATTGGAACTAGTCAAAGGGAGATCACTTTGTTTTTGGGTGTGCTTAACTTTTCGGCCAATACGGACAAGACACGTACACCAACACTTGCCTTAAGCACAGGTCTTATTGTAGACCACCAAAACTGATCTTCACCCTTTTTTTAATTAAATCTCATTTTTTAAATGGTAAACACATGTGGGGAGTTCCCCCTTTGAACATGGCCTAAGCTTAAGGGTTAGACTTTTAGATTATTAGACAGCTATGTGGTTTTGTCGTTTAATCTGTTTTTAGGACTTTGGTTTTTGGTTTTGGTTTTAGTCAAAGCCTATAAAGCTCATGCGCTACTCTACTACTACGATACTACATGTGGATTAATCTTATTTTAATTTGGTTAACTTTTTAGTTACGTGTGCATTTACGCCTAGAGAAAATAAATAAGATAAA